TTGTAGGTAGCTTTCTCGTCACATATGCACTAAGAATCCCAATTCTATATTCCTTCATTTGAATACTGGATTACCTGGCAGAACACTGAGGGGAGCTGGAGCTAATTTTCTTTTCTCACTGTCTTTCCCATTTATAACTTTTATTTTTTACTAACTTTTCACTAAAGGGTATTTTTTTTTCCTGGTGTTTTTCCTTCCTTCCTCCCCCCCGTGGTGCACTGGGGATTAAACCCAGGGCCTCTCTCCTGCCAGGCAAGTGCTCTGTCATGCTACATCTCCAGCTCTGTTAAATGCTTTTCTGAATGCAATTCCAAATGATTTTAATCTCCAATCTCCATTTTAATTCAAGAAGTAGCATGTTTTAGTGGTTGGTATTACAGCCAGTGAGGAAGGAGGCTAGGGAAAAAGAAAATCAAGACTGAAACCAAAACCAAATCAGAACCCCCAATTGATTTGGACTCAGTAGATTGGGTTTTAATACCAACTCTATTTCTTAATGACATGGAATTAAGTCTCAATTTAAAAAAAAAATATTGGTTATTTTTCATGACAGTAGAATTTATATTTTGATATATTTATACAAGTATAGAATATATCTTATTCTAATTAGGATCCCATAAATTTTTTAATGTGTAAAATGAGGTTATACCATTTTCTTTAAGGGTTGCTATGAGGATTTGAGATAAGGATTTGAGGTAACTTATAAAGCTTCTATTAGGAAGCTTGAAGTGCCCCCACAGATCTCCACAACAGTTTCTGGAAATGTAAAAGGGCACAGACATTTTGGGAAACACTTTTTTTTAAAGTTGAGAATACTTTATATGCTATCCAGACATTCCAATTCTGGATCTATATTTAAGAGCAATGAGAACATAGGTTCACCTGAAGACTTCTTTACAAATGTATATAGCATTTATTTGTAATGTTCCAAACCCAGAAATAAACCAGTGTTTCTCTGGAGGTAAATAGCCAAACAAATTGTGGTATATCTGCAATATGCAATAGCATTCAGAAATGAAAAGGAACAAACCATCGCTACATACAACACAATGGATGAATCTCAGTATAATTATGCTGATAGAAAGAAACTTATGGAAAAGGCACATAATATATGATTCAAAAGCCAACTAATCTGTAGTGACAGAAACTAGATTAGTGGATGCTAGACTTCGGTGGAAGAAGATATAGATTACAAGAATGTGAGGAAACTTGGGAGAATGGAAATGTTTGGTGATGGTTTCATGGATATGTTTGTATTCAATACTAATCAAATTGAACACTTAAATATATGCTGTTGATTGCATGTCAATTATACTTCCATAAAGTAGATTTTTTTAAAGGCAGAAAAAAGTAAGCTTGAAGTATGCCACAGAGATATTTTAGTAAATTCTTAGAAAATGGAGGGCTACAATAGAGTTACAGTCCAGTTAAATTCAGCTTTTAAAGAAATCACTTTTTACTGCTTAGACTGGAGAAAGCAGGCAGTTTAAATAAATAGATGTTAAGAAATATCAACTCAAGATTTCTGTTAAACTAGAGCAGTGTTTGCCATTTTGTTTCTTTTGGAAGGAATGCAAAAAATTTGTTTCAAAGTTTAGGAGCAACTGGAAATAGCACTTTGATCTAAAAATTATTGGGAATTATTTGAAGATTTACAGGAAGCACACAAGTATTAAAGAATTTTAGCGTCATATGATTTGGTAAGAAATTATATTTTTACTAATTCATTTGTTCTCTTTACTAACTTTTTCAAATTTTGTAAAAACATTGTGGATTTAATTAGAATAAGGATAAAATGTCCCACATTTTAACATTAGAAATAAAGTTTTAACAAATCATAAAATTATGTTTTTCTATAATCACAAAGAACCTAATGGATTAGAAACTAGAAGGATATTAATGTATACTTCTTATTTCTTATGGGAAGGGAAGGCTGGTAATCTATAGTGATTTAGTAAATGGCTTTTCCTCCCATTACAGAGTCTAGGTTTCCAATGCTTTCCTTCTCGGATGCCATACCACTATTTAACACAGCAAATCAATTTACTTTAAGATTTGCAGTGAAACCATACCAGGTGTTTTAAAATGTAAATTTTATTCCCAGGGGAAATAAGTTGCTATGTAAGTGAAATGAAATAAAAATCTTTAATTACATGACATGACTCTCTTGAAAGAAACCATTTGAGAGTGCCTTGGAAACAAATGATTGCCATGTACTAGACCGACTCAAATTTACAACAGTGCAATTCATTAAAATAATAAACTCTACTTTTGGCCCCTTGTTTTATTTTTATTTTTTTAAAATATTTATTTTTTAGTTGTAGTTGAGCACAATACCTTTATTTCACTTATTTAGTTTTATGTGGTGCTAAGGATCGAACCCAGTGCCTCACGCATGCCAGGTGAGCGTGCTACCACTTGAACCACATCCCCAGCCCCTGGCCCCTTGTTTTAAATGGCTTCAGTTAGTCTCAGTTTTTTTTAATAAATTGTTTTTTTTTTTCTGTAAGTCTGTTCTAAGTTTGATTATCAGGTTAAAAAAGAATGGTTCCCAAAACTCAGAGTGAACATAAATGTGTTTAATCATAACTGTAATATATATTTTATAATTTTAAACACAGAAGAACAGTTTGAAAGCAAACCCTCAATTGAAATAGTAAGTTCACAAAATCTAAATATTAAAGGCACAGACCAGACCTAGCTTGAACTCAGGTGAAGTAACAAAATCTTTTACAATTTATAGATCTAGCTTTTATTAAAATGAAGACTCCAATCTAACATAATTATTTGACATCATTTAATAGAGAATATTGTTGAATTATTAAGCATGTTATAATATAATTACTAAGAAAACATATATTTCTCATTTTCTTTGTAAATATGGTATTTATGTTACTTTTGTTTTATAGTTGGTTGAGAGAATATGTAATACCTAGTTTATCAGTGGTTTCAATGATTTGGAGCTATAAAATCACAAACCTTAGAGCTGAAAGGAATTTACTATCTTGACAATTATAGTTGAAAAAAGAGATATAAATATTGGCCCCAAAGCAAGATCTTTGAGTTACTCCGAGTTGTAATTGTAATGATCTTATACTACTCCCCGAGTCAGCAATTCTCTCTTTGATTTTTCCTCTCCTAAATCTATTCTTATTTATTTGTTTCGAAGAATATTCTAATCATAAGTTAAGGTTTTGCTTATTGCCAAACATGACCAAAGTGATCCCGAAAAACCCTTCATTTGAGTTCATGTGCATACTGTTTAAACCAACACCCAATTTGACCAAACCAGTAAAGACATGACCTTCCAGGGTAGGGTGTTGCCAAAAAATAAATAAATAAATAAAATTGGTAAATATCACGAAGTTCCTTTTTGAATAAATCTGATTACATAGGGATGTAGTGTAAATCCTCCTCCTAACTCCATTAGAGGCTGCAATTTGTAAAAAATGCAAGCTTCTCAAAACCAGATATATTTTCTTTTTTTGTGGAGAATTGGGAGTCCCAGTTACATACAGTAAAGCTTTTTAATCCGATTCTCCCTCTAGAGGGAGACATAGTCCAGCATTTATACCGATTGCTTCTTTTACTGTCTCTTTTTCTGCAGGACCGCGGTTTGCTCTCAGCAGCTGCTGCCACTAACAGAACTGGCTGTTTGGAGAGAGAAAGAGGCTACGCTGCCTAGTCCTGCCATCCCATTTTACTGCTTTAACTCAAGCAGGAGTGTCAGGACCTATTCTCTCCCTGCATTCTCTGCACTATATAACGGGGACAGTCGCTCTGTATCCCGGACAGCCAGACTGGGTAGAATAGGGGTCTAGGGTGGAACAGGGGCTCTGCCCTTTATGGTGACTTTCTGAAGATTACCACTAGTGTATTTTGACACTACAGAGGCTGGGGTGAGACGCGGATAGGAGGCTTTGATTGTTTTGGGCTTATTTTCTCAAGTGATCTGGATTTGCTTCCTCGACCCCCTCCCCTGTTTCTTCCTCCCCTCCCTCTTTTAGCGAGGTGATACAGGCGACACCTGCTCTCTCTCGTGTTCCATGTTGGAACTCGCACCTTCTCGGTGGTGACAGTGCCAGCACACTGGTGGTGACCGTGGGACAGCGGAGGGTTTCCCTTCCTTCCAGCACACGATGCCTAGAGGGGCAACGGGTGGGCTGCGTGGGGCTCTGCCCGCAACACTTCGAGGCGGGATTGAGAGGCTGCAGCTGGCCAGGAGTTGCTGCTAAGTGGACTCGAGTTGACGGCTCAAAGTCTCCAAGAGGGCACCAGCGGGACCTATCAACGAACTGCGGGAACAGGGGCACCGAAACCGAGGAACACGGGCGTCTTGCGGGGTGGGGGGCATTGGCTAAGCTCAGAGCCTCTCCTTTTTCTGCCCTGAGCCTCCCCAGCAACTCCTCTACCTTGGAGACCGCGACCTGCAAAAGCCGGGGAAGTACGTGGCGGAGGCTGCTTTTCTGAAGGTGAATCATTCCGTCCAATTGCCTTTCCCCAGAGAGCAAGAGGGAGGGCGGGAGACAGAGGGAACGGAGGATGTGTGTGCGTGTGTGTGTGTGAAAGGAAGAGACGACGTGAGGCGAGAGGAGAAGTCTTTACTCGGGGTTAAAAGGCAACGCATCAGAGATGGAATAAGAGCGGTAATTGCTGCAAGCCCTCCTTGATTCTCGCAGTCGGGGAAGCTGAGCGCACAGCGCGCATCCGGCGAGGACAGCGGGCGACCGCGGGCGCTGCCAAGGGCTGCGGGACTTTGGCTTTTTCCTCAGTAAACAAATCTTTTGATTACTTTGACACTGTGGAATAAAGAGGAGGGACCGAAAGACCAGGCTCCTGTACTCCACCTTCCACTCGCTTTAAGGGGATTCTAGTTTGGATGTGAAGATTCCTGAACCCTCTTTGCCATCGGAGGAGGAAACACACTCATACGCGAGCGCGCGCGGACACACACACACACACACACACGCTCAGGGCCACACTCACACGCCCTCCACGAGCACACACCAACAGACTTCGGTTCCCTATGCCCCTGGATGGTGACGGCGGATTGGCATCTCGGAAGCGATGCGAGAGCGATAAGGCTGGCGCCGGCCCGCGGAAACTGCAGGAACATCGCTAGGTGTTGCCGCCACCGGGAAGCCGGGCTGCAGGTAGGTGGGAGCCGCGCCTCCGGGTCGCCGGCGGGCTCTGGGGACTCGAGCTGCCACTACAGGACCACGGGCTCGGAAGCCCCCCGTGGGTACACGTCTCCCCTCCCCTGTCTCGGGGGCCAGGGGATTTACGGGGTTCGCCCAGGGAGGCAAGAGATGGGGGCAGATGTTGATCCGGCAGCCGGCGTCTCCCCCGCAAGCTGTCAGGGTAGGGGCGGAGTAGAGGGACGTGGAGAGGGGATGAGAGCGTGCGGAAGGAGGCCCGGCGAGCAGTGCCCTCCCTCTCTTTGCCCCATTTCTCGTTACATAGCGAGTCCATCGGTCGAGGACCGAAGTGGGGTTTAATGCGATCTCTCCCCAAGACCAATCCTGCTCGGTAATCATTTTGGACTCCTAGTAAGGAGTTGGGGGTCGCGTTCAAGGGAGGATCAATGATCAATGGAATGTGTCAGGTCGCCTTTCTGAAATCCCTACTTTCTGTCCACTTCTGATTAGTTAATTCTCAGGCCTGTCTGCAGAGCGTGGACATTTCAGTGGGGCTATTGATTTCTCCATCTCTAACTATTTTCATAAAGAATCATGTTGATAAGTTCCTGAGCCTCGTCTATTTAAAGCTTTATTTAGATTTGGGATCACTTTATTACTGAATGAATTAAAGCTTTTGTAAAGGCTACTACTTACTACAAGAGAGCTTCGATCAAGGATTCCTTTATGAACAGCGTTCAGAAAAAGAACAGCTTCGGGGAAACTAATGAGTTTTCTCTATCTTTCCGGATAGAGGTCTCCCAAATCTTGCTAATATTACACGGGTTTTCTGCTCAACTGCTTTGCTGTCCCCCCCCCCCCCCCCCCACACACACACACTCCCCTTTTATTCTAAAAGGCTAGGTGTCAACCTAGAGGTGTTTTCTTTAGGCTACTGATCTTCACTTATCTGTGGGGAACACGGTATTCCCAGAAACTGCTTTTGCAGGGGAAAGTTTGAGATCTGGCGCCCTGTATCTCCTAGGACTGCAGGTTGTGCTATCCAGTCTCCCCTTGAAAAAGACGAACCTTAGGCTCTTGAAGAACCCTTGGGTAGAGGCGAAGCTTCAGTATTGCACTTCCTGACCGAGTGTTAAACAATTGCCTGAGGCGTTTGGAATCTAATGGGTAGTTACTACAACAGTGACTAGCTTTCCTCAACTCTTGCTGGGTGCTTTTGGCTTGTGGCAATAAGACAGTAAAGAAAATATCCTCGTTTTTGTGAGTTTGAATCCCCTCTTGATTTTTACAAAATATTGCGTGGGCAAAAAAAGCCCACCCCAAATCCCAAATCCTCAGGCTCTTTTACTCTGAAAAGTACCCCTAAAGCAGTCAGTGTATGAGGGTCCTTCACTCAGGACAGGATGAATTTCAATGACTATTGACTAGATGGTAATTATCTGCTTCCTGTCTTCCCAACTAGATTGTTTTAGACATCAACATTCATACTGTCAAACTGCTCTCAAGCAATATTAAGTTAAAACAAACAAGTAATTAAGATTTCCATGTAAAGTGATAAACTGAAATAACTAATAACAAGATTAAAAATACTTTTTAAAGCTTTTAAAAATGAAGCCTTAGAGCTATTTGTATTTACTCCAACATTTCCATGTTTGCATATGTACTCTCAGACTGGTGAATCATTTAAAATTTCAAAATTGGCCTCTAACATCATATATTTTAAATAAAAGGGCTGGCACTTTTAATTGTCTCTTTCTCTACTTTATTCTGTTCTGGATCACATTGTGAGTCAATAGTTTAGATCCTGACCTTTTAAGAATTCTAATTTTTAAAGGCATCAATAATTGTTTAAAGGCCATCAGTAACCACATGGAAGCTTATTTTACTTTCATTTTCCTAATTTTCAATGAAACAACTGGGTTGTATTATTTTTAGATATAAGACTTTCAGAACAATGTCACTGACAAATGAATACCTCAGCATAGGGAGTCTTTTAAGAGGCAAACACAGTTTTAGTGGGTGCTTTATTCAAATTAGGTATTTTTAAAGATTAAAATCTTGATACTTCTCTTGCTTTTAAAAATATTTAGTAGTTTAGAATGCTAGACCACAGCTAGTGCTATATGATTCTTAAAGAAGAATCAGAAAACCTTGACATTAAAGCAGACACCTACATAATGCTACAAGTTATGCTGGGGAGGAATCCAAGGTTTCTGAGTATGTGTGATTTTTTGAATCGGAAAAATATTACCTACTTTAATAATGACAAATGGGAGAATGAAGATTGTTTGAGATGCCTCTGGATGTGTATCAAAATGGATATATATTGTTTAGAGACTGCATTATCGTATTTACTAACCACCAGATTAAAAAATGTGATGACATGGCTGTAAAAAAGAAGATCTGCTTTTAGACATGGCCACTTTTCCTTTTTAAAAATTTATAAAATGATGAAATTAGGGGGTGATGGAAAATTTCAGAGAAATTATTTTTTTGTCTTATCAGAAAATTTTACTAGTCCTGGATCAAATATCTTCCATATAGTGTTTTATGACCATCTTGAAATGTATTTTTATATTGAAATATACAAAGTACATCTTAAAGTGGATATATCACTAATTGTGTATTATGGGTTACTCTATTCAGGTAATCTCTCCACCACTTCCCAGACATTTCTTATCAAGGCCTCCTAAAAAAAAAGTACTGTCAGACTGTGCCCAAGTTCAGCTGTAATTGCAAACTGATGAACATTTACTGATGAGTTCTCTAATGCATGTCCCAACAAGGAATGCTCCAAAGTGTCATCAGTTATTTCAAATATATTTAAAAAGATGAAATAACCAGAGTGCAAACAGTTCAGTGCTCCTGCTTTTAATTCTGCAATATTTTATTAGGGATGCCTCATTAAGTCACATTATTCTGCAGCTGTTTTCATTGAAAATTCAAGTAAAAATAAGGAACTTTACTGAGCAATGCACAATGTTTTCTTGGTGAAAAATCCCACAAGTTGAAGTAAAATAATCATCCAACATTGTCCCCTTTGATCTATGCCTGATATTTACAAATGTAATTTATCACTCTGTTATTAGTAAGGTCCTATCAAAACAAAAAGAAGAAATGCATTAATACAGACTGCTGCAAGATATGAAGGCCAAACCAACTGACTTAATATCATATTTGGCCCACATGTTTGTACAGTATTTCACCTGATATATCTTACTTTTGAATCATTCATTTTGTAATACCATGTAATATGATGAATTTGCCATTTTGTTTGAAATTATTTGGTTAACTTTAGTTTGAACTACATAAAGCGTATTGAACTACTTAATTATTCCATTGAAAGAGAAGGAGCAATTTTATATTGAGTTACCATGAGTCCTTTTAGAGAACAGTTTTATTTGAGGTTTGAAGTACAATCTGAGATGTGTAATAGACAGACCTAGCAAACAGAGACCTAGAAGTTAGTTTATCTTTTTTAGTTGTCATTGACTATTGGCTTTTGGGTAATTTTCAGAAGGTCTGATTCTTTTCATTCAGCACAGTGATCCAGCGTCCTTGTCATCTAAGTAAAACTAATATTTGTCTTTTGCTTCTTAAAGAAATTTTAGGATGAATGGTAAGTTATTATAGTGAAAGGAAAGTAATATTTAAACACATTTCTCTGTAAGATCTACCTATATAATCTTTTTATACCTATGTATGCACACACAAAAATGTTTTTAATGGAACCCACATACAATGTTGACTGTATTAATGAAGGAAAAACACTTTACCAAAAATAAAAGTTTATTAAAAGTCTACATTTCTAAGTATGTAGTTTTTCACTATTTCATATGATTTGACCTGCAGCACAACTGTTTTCATCATTTAACAAGGTCATTTATAATTAAATTTTACTCTTAGAGCCATTTTTATATGCAGTATATTTGTTCTTCAATTTTCTTTTGGAGATAATTTTATTTGCTAGAGTTAAAATGCAAAAAGCAAAAACCAAATTTGTCCCCTATTTAGGGATATTTTGGGATGTGTTTATTAACACTGCAACTTGGAATTCCTACATATTTTAAAAACTGAATATAATTGTATGCTCTCATTATTAAATATACTGCTCCAAAGTTATAACACAACCTATGAGTTATTCTGGAGCATACTATTGCAGTTTGCAAATGGTATCTATAGAGTTTTTTGAAACATATTGATATTATACTCTCAGTTTCTATTAAGATTTCCAAAACCCATCTACTTCCAATGTGTACACCACATGTATATGTTGGCTTTCATCCTGTGCTGTAATGATAAGCAAGCTAGTCACTGGAATTGGTGTATATCTGACCTGCTTAGGCAATTGATTGGTATTATCATTGGAAACTATAAGACTTCTAATTTGCATGGAAATGAGATGAAAAGTGAATATATAAGTTATAAGTAAAATGTTCTGTTTTGTTCACAGTGGTCCATGTAGGGTATGGGATATAACTAAGGAATCAGAGATGATTTGCTTTTATTAGATAAAGCCCTTTTAATCACTTCTTTCTGTCTCCTAAATTATTCCATAGTGGCTGTAATTGTTTTATGATTTCCCCTGAATGGCCTGTTAGCAAAGGTACATTTCCCTTTCTCCTAGCAATAGCACAAACGTAGTCATTCAATTAATATATTTATATTGCTTCTTTTATATACAGTTGATTTTAGAAACTCCTTACAGTGAGATTCAGTAATGTAATGTTGCATTCTAGCAATTACAGTGATAGGATGAATTTAGTACTTTGATAAAATGGAGACAACCAAGCCAAGCAAGTCTCCTTTACTCTTTAATCTCTTTGTGTTATGTAAAGCTAACTCTCTACATGAAGCCTGAAGAGTTCAAAGTAGTATTTGATGAATGCAAAGTTTGTTTTTCTAAATATTTTTTATATTTTTATGGGTCTTTTATTTTTTGCTGTTATGAACTAGTCACTGTATAATTGAATGCATGTGAATGGGCAACTGTTTTGCCCTTTAAAGGTTATGCA